GTCAGCAGCCCCCATGCCAGGCAGAGCAAAGGGGCCCACAGCGGTCGTTGGCAGGGCCAGAGCCTTGCGACTCCAGCTGAAGCTGGGGGCGGGGGGTTAGAAGAGGATTAGCCCAGGTGGAGCTGGGCCAGGGCAGCAGGACTCACCCACCAGCTTGGTGGGAACACCCTGGGGGATCATTTTACCACCCCTGGGCACGGCTCTGGCTCTACCCCTCAGCTTAAATCCAGAACTACAGCACCGCCCTGGGGTCAACACTGACTGCCAGGGGAGAGCGCCCCCTGCTGAGCCCTCCACTCCCTGCAGCACAGCACCCCCTAGTGTTGCCCTGGGGTCAACACTGCCAGGGGAGAGCACCCCCTGCTGAGCCCCCCACTCCCTGCAGCACAGCGGCCCCTAGTGCCACCCTGGGGTCAGCACTGACTGCAAGGGGAAAACACCCCCTCCTGAACCCCCCACTCCCTGCAGCACAGCGGCCCCTAGTGCCGCCCCGGGGTCAGCACTGCCAGGGGAGAGCGGCCCTTGCTGAAGCACCACCACCTGGTGTCTCCCATCCAAGCACTGGCCTGCTGTTAGCCTGAGCGCTGACTCCAGGGAAGGCCGAAGTCGCACAGCGGGGCAGCCGCTGAAGGGACACATGTCCAACCTCCCCGGAGAAAACCAGGCCCAGGGCAGCTGTACGAGTGGCTCTGAGTGCAGGCTCCGGGGCGAGGCAGCTCGGGGTCTGCTCTCTTCCACTGAGAAGGAACCTGCTGCTGACAGCGAGCAGGCCCCAGCATTGGGGCCGGGCGGGGAGACCGGCATTGAGGGGGCAGGAACCTCCAGCTGGGAAGGACGCTCAGCCTCGCCTCGGAGCCTGAGGCAGGGGTGTGTGCGATGGCTGAGCTGGGCCCGCCTGTTGTGCCCCCTGGGAAGGATGCTCTAATCTGACCCTTGCAGAGGGAGCTGCGAGTGGGGGGGAATGGGGGCTTTGGCACTGCCTCCTGTTGTGCCCATTGCCCGGCCCCACAGCACGACCAGCCTCCCCAGTGCCCACCCCCTGCCCTGCAGCTGTAGGCAAGTTCCTGGCTGCCCCTGACCCAGCTCCAGGCACGGCCGGTGCCTGCGGCACCCCCTGCCCCCACAGACATGCGACTGGCTGGCTAGAGTTGATATATTTTTATGTTAAAGATGCTTTACAGGTAAAATACAAAAATAGGGCCTGGGAGGATGGGGGATCTGCCCCTCGTCAGCAGCTCCCAGGGGACCAGGGTTCAGCGTAGGGGGTCACAGCTCACTTCCATCACAGCATGAGGGGGGCGTAGGGGCCTTGCTTTCTAGGACTCCCGACCCTGACCAAGCCCTGCTCAACAGGGGGGTCACTCTCCACGCTGGGGGCCTGGAGCCCCTCGCAATGGAACCGCCCCCTCCAAGTCCCTTGCTTTGCCCACTCCTCTCTGAGCCGGGGCCCAGGCCCAAGCACCAGTGCTGGGCTTAGTGTCATGGATACAGTAGGTGCCGGAGGGCTGGGGAGTGACTGAAGAAGCTAGGGGACAGGGAGCAATCCTGGGGCTCCCAGCTTGCACCCCAAGACAAGTGCCAGGAGGGGATATAAATATTGCAGCACGTGGCGCTTTACAAACATTGCGCATCCTCACGCCCGCCCTGCGAGGTAGGTCAGTCCGATCCAGAGTGAACAGACAAGACAAGACAGAGAGGGGAGAGGACATGCCCAAGGGTGAGAGGTGGCAGCAGAGCTGAGAACAGAACCACGAGTCCTGTCTCTCACGCCCCTGGTCTAATGTGTAGGGCCCCCCCATCTCCCAGAGCCAGGGAGAGAATCCAGGAGTCCGGATCCAGCCACTAGGCCCTACGGCTTCTTTAAGAGAAGGATCTCGAAGAACTCCAAGCCCACCCAAGGGGACCCCAGCCATGCAGCAGTGTGTGTCAGCTCACTGCCCCCCCTCCCCCATGGGTGCAGTGGGGGATTCCCTCAGAATAAGGAGTGAGGGGGAGGTGTTAGGCCTAACCCCACATGGGGCACTGTGGAGGGGGATGTGGGGGACAGTGTTACGACAGGCTCAGACTGGTGAGGGAAACCCCCCAACGGGCTCCGGGAGCAGTTAATCATCACAGAGTGTAAACGGTAGGAGAGATGATTAACCCACCCACCTGCCTTATGGATGGGACACTAGGGCCAGCGCTGGGGCCTGGCCCAGGGACTGGCGCTGTGGCCTCCAGCAGCATGTGGGGAAAAAGGGAGGAGGGTGCCCCCCCACAGCAGAATAGGGGGTGACAATCTCTTTACACAGGAAGTCAGAGCGGCGTGAAGCAGGTAGGGGAGCCTGGCTGAGTCCATGGGGGTGAGGGGGAGCCCAGATCAGCTGGAAAGCCCACCACAAGACCCATTGGCGTATCCAACCTGAAAGGCCTGGTGCAGGGGGAGAAGAGACAATTCAACCCCCCCCCCCGGGAATGGAGAGTGGAAGTGGGGTGGGTGGGGGGAAGGGAAGGTGGGCTGGGGGGCTGTGAATAGAACAGGGCCCTGCCTGGCACAGGGCTGCTGCCTGGCCTGATCGTTCGGGGTGGTTTTTAGCAGGAGGTAGGAGAGGAGGCAGCGGATGGATTTAACCCTCTGACCACCCCCCACGGCTGCGATGTTCCGGGGGCAGCAGTAAGGGTGGGGGCTGCCTGGCTGTCACGCCCCTGTCCAACTCACCTGCTGCCTGCAAGCCAGGAGCAGAGACCAGGTGCTGTGAATGTGGGGTGTGAACAGCACAGCCAGGGGAGCGCAGGGCTCCAACTTCAGGAACAGACGCGTGACAAGAGCCGCCCAGTCATTCCTGAGCTGCTCCAGGGGAATGCTGCTGCCCCCTGTGGGTCTGGGGCTGGAGCAGGGACCCACCCCCCGGCCCACCCTCCCTGCAGGGCAGGAGCAGACCCCAGCCTGGGCCCTGGGGCTATTCCACTGTGGTAGGTGGGGCAGGGATTTCCGGCAGCAGGTAAGCGGAGGCGAGGTCCCAGGGCAATGGTGCTCAGCTGTGACAGAGCCTGAATGCACCAGACAGCTTCTGCCAGCAGGGGGCACAGTGGAGGACAGGAACTCTGGCCATGGGGGAGCTCCCAGCTACCCCAGCCAGGCCTCTGCCAGCAGGGGGCATTGCAGGCTGTTGATTCCTTTCGCCGGGGCGGGGGGGGCGCGCACAGTGAGGGTAACAAGGGGAGCAGGATGAGGGGATGGGAGTGAGCTGTCTCCCCTCGAGTTAGCAGCAGCTCCTAGTCTCATGCTGCCTTTGAGGGGAACAAGGGATCTCAGCACTGCTCGGGGCTGCAGCCCCTCGCTGCCCAGGGCTCCATCTCGGGAGGAGGAAGGATTAAAGCAGGTGAAGGGAGAGGGCAGTACAGTACCAACAGAGCAGCAGGGCGGGGGGCTGGAGTGAGCTCGGGAGGAGCGAGCAGGCTGTTGCGGGCACTCTGCCATCCGCAGCCCGCCCGGAGCGGCCTCGCTCCCGTTAGTGGTTAGATGGGTGCTGACAGGCAGCGGGGTGGGTGTACCATAGGGGCATGGGGGCCTCTGCTCGCAAACACCCACACGTGGAACACAGGCACCGGGGTTAGTTTCAAGGCACCGGGGTTACTGCCCGGCGGGAGGCTGCGCCCAGGCAGAGGTACAGTCGAGGGACTCCCCAGCAGCGGCCAGGTTACCCTGATGACTGAAGAGGGGTGCCAGGCCCCACACCCTGCTCCACCCCAGGGAGCAGTGCAGCTGGCCCCCCTCACTCCCCTGCTGCCCCCCAGGACTGGGGAGGGAGCACCCCGAGGGCCTGGCCAGTCCCCACCTCCCTGCAGCCTTCCCCAGGGACACACAATGGCTCAGCTTATTGCTCGATAATGCCCAGCAGCTGTCCCCTCCGCCGCCTCTAGTACTGGGGGGAGAGAGGAGAAGAGCCCAGAGCCCGGCTCCCATGCGGCTCCAGGTACAGTCAGGAAGGGCTGGCCATAGAGAGGTGCACACAGGGCCCTAGGTGGAGGGGAGGGGCGAGGAGCCGGAGCTGGAGTTTTTGCCAGAGCAGTGCTGGAGCCAGGCACA